TCCAGCCTGGGCTACTGCCCGAAAAATAGACAGACAAAATTAAATGTACTTCAAAACAAAAATCTTACGTAGCATAGTGAACGCACCCTGGTTCGTGCGAAATTCTCAAATCACAAAGACCTGCATATCAACCCAATTCACGACCAAATCCTAATTTCTACACACAACTTCTTTGAAGATATGAGAAATTCTTCTCCTATGAAGCTATAAATCACTTACAGACTATGACCCTACTATTGAGAACGTAGTGAAAAGACCTCGAACGATCCACCACAATTCTAAGTGGTGGTATTGTATATAATGTGAAAAAAAAATTACTATTCCTTTGCAGTTACTATTCAAGAAGATGAACTTTGCAAAATTAGGACTTTATTTTTCATCGATGAATTCTTCGTTTTACTACTTATTTAACCAAGATTTTACTTTACTTTTTATTTTACTATTTCGTATCATGTGTTTTAAAATCAAAGTTCGTGGTAACACCAAGTGCTTACTCTCATTCATTAGCCCTATGAGCTACATGACCTCATTTTCGCCTTTTACAGTTTCCTAGTCATTTAATGATTATCGCAAGTTTAGAAGATTTCAAGTGTTTGAAAAGACATAGGACTCTTAAATTCACAACTAGATGTTGCTTCTACTATGTTCGAACTTTATTTATTGCCAAAAACTACAAAAACTTCATTTTTCGAACTCTGACTCCTCGACCAATCTAAAGCCGGACCGACGCTGATCACGTGTTTCTGCTTTGCTCTTCTTGACTCACGCATAAAGCTTAGACTTTCATTTCGCTTCTCGCCCACCATTTACGTATATAATACCCATCTATGCAATTTAGCAAAACTTATTTTATTAGTTCTTCATTTATTGATCTCGCTTCGGGCGCGGTGTATTTTAAAATACACCTCTTAAATTTTTAACTTTATGGCCTATGGTAAATGATAATATACTGGTAAGAGCTCCTAGTAGCTAAAGCCAGCAGTAAAGATATGATCCAAGATCCAAGAATCATTTCTACTCTGATTGTTGCTGAGTGAACATTATCTTGCCTTTTTGTTATTTTCTTTTGCGCCATTTCATTTTTCTACACGATGTCTACCAAGCGAGTTTTTTCTACATCTAATGTAAGTTTATTTTGCTGATACCTTATTTTTATATTACCATTTTTGAAAACGATTTTTTTAATACGTTATTTATTCTAATTTTTAATTGCTAGGTGTTATTTGAGGATCCCGATTGTCCTTTATGTGATTCTGATGACGATGTAAGTTTTTTTACACGTATTTTCGTAGCGTATTTTATTTCTATTTGATCGTATTTTACCATTTCAGCTTATTTTTATTTTGAATGAATCCACTTTTATTTTGATAGTTATTAGATGAAGTTGATCAAATATTCATGGATAATCCCCTGGTTCTGCCCTTGTATTATCAAGTGGGTTCCGGATTCGAGGTAAGTATTTCAGCATTTTTAGATTCTGTTAGAATATTTTTTTTCTTATTAATAAAATGATGTGTTTATGTTTTATTTATTTTTTCGACTTCTCTGTCATCAGCTCATGGGCCCTTATGTATATGGCTGGTTCCGATGAACGATCGGTGTGTATTTTTCTTTTTACATGATTTATTAAAATCTGTTTTTTAAAAAATGTTTGATTATTACCGTGAAACTTATCTTTATTTTTACTTTCCAGATTGATGAGGCGATTGTTCTCACAGAAAAGTCTCGTCGTAGAAATCACAAGTACCAAGCCGAGGAAATTACCTTCCGGGCCAGTATAGATATGGTACGACTGCCTCAGGATGTACAAGGAATCCCAATGGTACGAATTCCAGATACCGTCCGGGAATTGTTTGAGCAACTTATTCGCCGGACAACAGCAAATCTGGGCCCATCAGACCTCATCCGGTTTTGCATCCAGGCAGAAGGCTTGGATAAACCGATTAGCACGTCCCTGATGGCAGTTTCGACCCTTTCAGTTGAAAAAATTTTGCCTGCTGTCATGAAAGTGTTGCAGTCCAAAGACAAGATCGAGCTGGATGCAGGGTTCTCGGTGGACGTGATCACCATTAGACGACCTGTGGGTGCCGGTGGAAACAGAAAAGTGATCAACATCTCCATGGACAGATTAAGAAAACAATCTATCTTGTCCATACCCTACGATGAGGAAGGACTGTGCTGTGCTAAGGCTATTGTTTGTGCGTTGGCATATCTGAATGAGGACACGAGGGCCATCAATGCCATGAAAGATCGTCGCCGACCAGCTCTTCTAAATCGTGCTAAAGAGCTCCATATGGCTGCGAATGAGCCTCTAGGCCCTTGCACATTTTCAGAAATCGCCATATTTGAAGACCATCTAGACGTGCAAATTGCAGTCTTTTCTTCGGATAATTTGAACCGGGTAAGACATTATTTTTGTCCCAATTAAAATATATATCTGTCTTCAAATTTGTTTTAAATGTTCATACTTATCTAAAATTTTTGCAATTTCAACAATTTCTAAAAAATGTTTTGAAAACCGTAACTTAGTTTTAGTTATTTTATACTTTGTGGCTACATGGTAAAAATTTATTTGAGTACGTGAAGAATATTTAAAAAAAAGTTTTCAATATTAATGAACTGAAAAAAAATTGAGAGTAGCTACCTCCAAAATTTAGGATCACTTTGTTTCCATGTTAAAAACATATCTTAATGCATGGCGCAATTTTAGATTGAACTAAATATTTAGATTAACTTTATGTTTTATGAATGTTCGCATAAAATGCATGCATGCATACAATTCGTTTCTCTATGTTAAAATGTAAAGGATGAAAACTGAACGCATGGTGAATTTTTTTTTTTTAGAGAACTTTAACTTTTCAGAATACTTTTAATTAGTTTCTATGTTAAATATATAATGGGGGAAAACTGAATGTTTTCTTTTTATAAATTGTTCGATTTTGGAATTTATTTTTAGAGAAAAGTTTTTCGTTTAGAAGTTTAAAATATAACGTGAATCTTTACTTTTAGATTACTTTAAATTGTTAGATTAACTTTATATTTTATGCATGTAAGCAATTAGCTTTGATGTTAAAAAAAAAAGATAACATGTAAAAACGCATGGTGGAATTTTTAGATTCTTTTATATTTTATGCATGCATGCTATTTCTTTAGACGTTAAAAATATGCCTTATAAAAATGCCTAGTGAATTCTTTAGACTACTTTAACTTTTAAGATTATATTTTATGCATATTCACGCATAAAATGCATGCATGTAGGAAATTTGTTTAGATATTCAAAATTTAGGGTGTATAAAATCGAAAGTTTTAGATTATTCGATTTAAGGAAAAGTTTTTCTGTTTAGACGTTAAAAATATAACTTGTGAAAATTTTTACTTTTAGGTTACATTAACTTGTTTAGATTATTTTTATATTCAATTCGTTTTGATGTTAAAATGAAATGCACAATGAATTTTCAGATGATTAGGCATTTAATTAGTTTAGATGCTTAATGCACAAGTAATTTTTAGATAATTAAGAATTTAATTCGTTTCGATGTTAAAAATATATAAAGGGTTTGATTTTGGAATTTAAGAGAAAATTTTTATCTATGTTTTAGGTGGTCTATAAAGGAAAGGAGAGGTCTCAACGGATCAATGGCTCCACAATGGACAGTACGATGTGATTAAATCCCTGAAAGGATTTTTCGGCAGCAAATATTACTGCACGATACCTGCGAAAAGGCCTGCCAAATGCATGAAAGTCATAGATGTGCCAATGCCTGTCCCATATGTTTGAGGATCGACTGCTTTCCAGGCGTGCCCCAATGATGTCAGGATTGTGACCGTCTCTGCCGCTCCGATGCCTGTTATGCAGCACACAAAGCCCTGACTGGAAACCAAGAGTTTTCACTTTCTGATAGGGTAAGTGTTTTTTGAAAATTTATCTTAACAAAGTTATTTATCATGTACTTTTTTTTGGAAATTGTTGTGTTATAAAAATAATAATTGTCGTTACAGATATATCAGTGCAGGGAATGCTGCCAAGTGATCCGGAGGCGGGATTGCCCTAAAAAGTTGCATAAGTGCGGAACCACCAAGTGTCCTTCTTGCAGCCAGTTTGTCGTGGCTGCTGAGCACCGTTGCTATTTGCGACGTGTTGCTCCGAAGAAGTCCGATGACAAGCTCATCTTCTTTGACTTTGAAACGGATCAGTCTTCGGGGGAACACCTCGTAAATTTCGCGGTGGCTCAGTATGCCGACGGCACAGAAAAAGTGTTTCCGGGATACACGGCATGTCAAGATTTCTGCGCCTGGCTGTTCTGCACAGAGCACAAGGGCTTCACCGCCGTGGCACATAACATGAAAGGGTAAGTTAAAAATACTTTAGTTTGCATGCTTTTTAAGTACGACTATTTTTTCAATATTATTCATACTTTTTTTGTTACTTACAGGTTCGACGGACAGTTCGTGATGGCCTGGCTCCTGGAGCAAGGCACAGCGCCGGAAGTGATCCCTAACGGGTCTATGATCATGTGTTTAAGACACCCTAGTCTGAACATTCGGGTCATAGACTCGTTAAATTTTCTACCAATGGCGTTGGCCAAACTGCCGGGATGCTTCGGCCTCAGCGAGTTGAAGAAAGGATACTTCCCGCATCTCTTTCAACTCGCGAGAAAACCAGAGTTATGTCGGAACCGCTACCGGAGACCCACTATTACAGCCCGGATACCATGAGCACTCACTCCAGCCCGAAAAGCATTTCTATCCTGGCACGAAGAACACAAGGGGGATGTGTTCAATTTTCAAGCAGAGATGCTGGCCTATTGCAGGTATATTTTTTTTCCCTCCTTATTCTTATTTATTTAAGATTTTGTTTATATTTATATTTTATGTTTCGTATTTTTAACATTTTTTCTTTTAATAGATCGGACGTGGACATTCTTCGTCGCTGTTGCCTGGAGTTTCGAGCCCAGTTTTTGGATGTGGCGGGTGTGGATCCATTCCAGTAAGTTATTTTCTAATTCTTTTATACAATAATGATCATGTTTACAGTTATGTTCTTATAGAATAATCATGCTCATGAAGTTGTTTTTTTTTCTTTTCAGATACGTGACCATTGCGTCAGCGTGTATGGCAACGTATCGGAGTGGCCACATTCAGCCCAACACGATTGCCATGGTACCCACACACGGATATGTGAACTCCACGAATTACAGCCCTGATTCGATCCGGTGGTTGGACTTTGTTGCTGCTTCGGAAGGCATTGCCATTCAACATGCGTTGAACGGTTCCGGAGAGCACAGAATCGCCGGAATCTCGGTAGACGGTTTCTGCCAAGCAACTCAAACCGTCTATCAGTTTCAGGTAAGAAAATATAACCATTCTTTTTCTATGTGATTCTTTTGAATGATTTTACACTTTTAATGTTTAATTTACATATTGAACACTATTAATGTATTTGTATTATTTTAGGGCTGTTTCTTCCATGGATGTAGTTCGTGCTATGACGGGGATGTCATCCACCCCTTAAAAGGAGTTTCCATGGCAACGTTAAGAGAAAAGACAGAAGACACCACACGAAAACTTCGAGCCCAGGGTTTCCACGTCATAGAAATGTGGGAGCATGAGTTTCAACGACAGAAGGAAGAAAATCCAAACCTCCAAGCTTTCCTGGATCAACACCATTTGAGGGACCGGCTCAATCCTCGCGAGTCATTTTTCGGAGGACGGACCAATGCCCTCAAATTGTTCCACGAGGGAGACGCTAAATATGTGGATTTCACATCTCTCTATCCATGGGTTCGTACTTTTTTATTATTTTAAAACCTTTTCATGGATGATGTGTTTTTCTGACTTTTTGTTTTATTTCACAGGTGAACAAATATTGCGTCTACCCCGTGGGACATCCGGAAATCATCACGGAAAGCTTCGGGGATCTAGAACACTACTTTGGCATCATTCAATGCCGTGTCATTCCTCCCCGGAACCTATATCTTCCAGTTCTTCCATACCGGTGCCGAAAGAAACTGATGTTCCCCCTGTGTCGGACTTGCGCCCTTCTACAGTGTCAGTCTTCCTGTACCCACACAGACGACGAAAGAGCTCTTGTCGGAACGTGGGTATCGGAAGAAGTCAAGCTGGCGATAAAGAAAGGTTACCGCGTCACACATGTAAGTATTCAAAGATTATTTAAATTGTTTGTCATAACCCAAATTTATTTAAAATCTTTTGTCATAACTGAAATTTATTCTTTATTTTCTAGATTTACGAAGTGTATCATTTCAAAGAATCGTCTACTTCCCTGTTTCGTTCCTACATTGATCTCTTTCTGAAGATCAAACAGGAAAGTAGCGGATGGCCTTCGGAGTGTGTGACGGAAGAAGCCAGACTGAAGTATATTCGCCAGTATGAAGAAAGAGAGGGCGTCAAGTTGGACGCAGGAAAGATTTCCAAGAACCCTGGGCGTCGCCAAGTTGCCAAGTTGGCCCTAAACAGTTTCTGGGGCAGGTAAGATGATTTCTTTTGTACTTAAATTTTTTGTAAACATTTTTATTTTTTTAATTCGTTATGATTTATGTTGGATTTTGTTTTCAGATGGGGTATGAACGTCAACAAAGGACAGCTTACCTATGTACATACGGTGCCAGACTTTAATAAGATGATGGCTGATCCTACCAAAAAAGTAAGTTTTCTTATCAATTTTATTCATCTATAAACTTCGACCTATTATTCATGTATTTTGAGCTGTGAACTCATGACTCTTCTATTCTTTTCAGATCAAAGATGTCTTTCTTCCCACGCCTGAGGTGGCTGCAATACAATGGGAGTCTGCCAAGGAGTTTGTGCCGCAGGATGCCTCGACCAACATTTTTCTAGCGACGTTTACGACAGCTTGGGCTCGCCTCAAGCTGTACAGTGAAATGGAGAAGCTGGGTCGAGACGTCCTGTATCACGACACAGACTCCATCATCTACGCTACCAATGGTCGCAATGATCCTCCCTTGGGTAACTTCTTAGGGGAATTTACCGACGAATTGGATGGAGATATCATCAAAACCTTCGTGTCAGGTAAGGACCTTTAAAAAGTTCCTTATTTAATATGTACCAAAAAAAATGTTTAATGCATATTTTTTCTGTTATGTCTTTTTCTCACCATGTTTTATTTTTTTTTTTTTTTTTTCAGGAGGTCCGAAAAACTATGCGTACCAGACGGCCACTGGGAAAACTTGTTGCAAAGTCAGAGGATTTTCGTTGAACTTCCGAAATTCCCAGCTCTTAAATTTTGAAGCCATCAAAAGTCTGGTATGTAGTCTGGACCAAAAGGATGTCATAGCTCTGCACAACCCCTCCAAAATTACCCGAGAACCAAAAAGAAGAAAAGTTGTGAATAAACCCGAAACAAAAATGTACAAAGTTGTGTTGGACAAAAGGGTGATTCAATCAGACTTTACCACCTTACCATTTGGCTTTTGAAAATGACTTTTGTAAAAATGTATGGTATGTACAAAAAATGTTTTGTATGTAAAAAAGATCATATGCACAATATCATGCATTTGCGTGTAAAAACTTATTTAGAAAAAAAATAAACA